TAATATTAACTGAACCAGTTACGTTATATCTTCTAACAATATTTCTCATACTGTACCGCGATAAGCCTAAGTTGCAATTTCCCAGAATTAAAGAATTTACTTATCAGTAACCGAATTTTCTCACTAATAACCTTTCCTCTACCCATTTTGAAAACCTTAACTACCCAAAACTATTTTAAACGTATTCTGACAGCTGTGATTAATAAAAACAATTGTCATGGCTTTTATTTTTCACAGCCACCTATGCGTTATAGACTTATATTGCATTGAAATAAAAATAGGTTGATATGCTGTAATTGCAACATGTGTTATTTTTATGCTGCAAATTTGATTAGGGAGTGATAAAGTTGGGGTTTTCTACTATATATTATCAAAATATTCATTTTTAATATCCTAACCTATAACACCCTGCTACATTTTTATTATTTGTGTTTGATAAGAAAAAAACTAGGATTTCAATAGTTGGAAAAAATGAAGTGGGAAGGGGCTCGTACATTAGAAAAAGTATTGTGCCTATAGTAAGCAATGATTAAATTCAATCCGCGTGACATTTTGACTTTTCTGCACGCCATGTATGCGGAAAAGTAACTTTGCCGCATGGCAAAGCAAAGTGCGTGCGGAAAAGTGGTACTTTCAGCACGCTGGTAGAGAAGATTAGTGTTCCACGTTTGTTCACTGCTTCAGTGTATTTCCTCATCTCGTGATTATTACTTTGGTTTTTATGGCTTTAGTGTATGTATTTTATACAATAAATGTGGTGATGTTTTCTTACAGAAGTGTGATCCAATCAAATAAATTGGTAGATTTATATGTAGATATTCTTATTTTCTAACTAGATAACTCCACAAAAAGCATACATATTTTTTCACCATATCCGTTAGTAATATTTACATATTTTATGAGTACTGTTATGATCCACCATTCAGATATCTTGCAGAAATGTCTAAATTTAAATCTAAAAAATAAATTAGTTAAAAATATAACACCAATTGCAAAAAGAGATTAGTATTCCTGAAGTATCGCATTTCTTACTGTTCTTATCCTGCTGGTATGTATACGGTTATCAAATTATACTAAGCTGCCCACTGATTACTAGTCAGATCCATTATTCTTTATTCGCGAAAGAAGTTTTTGCTTAATTGATGATTGTGGTCAAGCTGAGCAACGCGACGTCAAGGTTGTATTCTTGTAGGTCCAGTTGAAAAAAAAAAGATTGACCGAACGAGTTTCAGCAAGACTTCCGGGGTAACTTCAAGTTGTTTGCGGAATTCGATTCGGTATAAATTCTCATTTGGCTCCCATTTACCACCAGTAGATCGACATATCTGCAACAAGTCAACAATGGCATTCACAGTAAGTAATATTTCGTTATAATTTTAAAACACACACACACACACAGAACAGATATAAAAATGTACTATAATAGAAAATATTGAAAATATATGTATTTAAAATAAAAACTCAATCTTCAGACCACTCTGACATTAGGATTTTCTCTGTACGCCCACAAAAAAGTTTACAAATGAATATTTTTGATTTATGATATAGGGATGTAGCATTACTATCCTAATACCTACTTCAACAATTTTGTCAATTTTCATTACTTGTGCTTATTCCAAAATCAGAAAGTCTTTATTAAAACTCAGGATTTTAGTTCAATTGTTCAGACTAAATTCTTGGTATTTGATAAAAAATTTGTATGCTTCTAAAATTAAATTCATACCTTGTTTGAATATGCAATGAATATTCCAAACAGTTAGTAGTGTAGAAAATAGTATTTTTATATAGGGGTAAAATTTTTCATACAGGATGAGTTTTTTATTGCATGCTCGGTCGATAGCGTTATTATGCATGCTATCGAAAAAAGTTGATTACAAAAATTGTAGCCATCTATATGCTCCTTATTTGAGGAATATTTCCGTATCTACAGGGTAGTTCATAGCTGCGTGGTGTACAATTTATTGCCGGTTTGGATAGGCCTTTTTTAAGCAAAGCAATTTAATATAACATACTACAGGGTTTTATTTTCAAATTGTTGAGATATTAGATAGAATATCGAAAAAAAGGCTCGACTTTGATAACTCGCAACTGTTATAGCTAAAACTATCGAATTTTTCATCAGATAAGTTTCAAAATCTCATACTTTGTTCTGCTTATTTTTGAGTTGTTTTGAACAGTTACGCAAAATTGAAGAGTTCTCAAAATTGTCAAATTGAACACCCTGTACATTTTCACATTCCTTGATTCCCCTTAGCACAAGCCTCTTTTGGTACTAGGCTTATGGAGGTTTGTACGACTGTTGTTCGAATTACAGCTAATCCTTTTGTAAACAAACATCAAGGTAAATGAGAAATATTACAATACCTTAACCAATAAACAAAGTCAAGGAGGTGTCCCTGTGTTTTTTGTAACTCAAAAACCAGTCCTAGCTCAAATAAAGCTTATATCACAGAGAAGCTTGTAAAAAGGGGATTAAAAAATTTGAAAATAGACAGATGTTCCATTTAAAAAATATGGGACCATAAAATGTTTTTGATGAAAAATTCAGTATAGATTTGTAAGATTTCAAAGTTGAGTTTTTCCGATAGATTGTCCAAAATAAATTTGTAAATAAAACCCCTAGGTATGTTATATCTAATTGCTTGGTTAAAAATGGCCTATCCAAGCGTATGGGTTTCCATTTAGAAAGATGTATCCTTGGGTAGTTATATATAGATTACCCAGTAGAAGCGCAAATGTTCCAAGTCAGCGTGCATATTAGTTATACCGTTCGCATTATGAGTAGATAATTTTGAGTAAACACCTTTAACCGCTCAGGACCCAAGTTTTTCAAAACAAGCGAGTAGAATCACTGAGAAAACGCGGACGTGGTTCTCTTGCCTTAAGCGGAGCTGTATTCCTGTCGTCCATTAGTCTCATATCTATTGACGAAGTTGTGATGAAACGTTTTATAATATTAAGGTCATGGGAACATGTTTTGCCGAAAATGGATACATGCACAGTCTTGTTGGGGAATTTGGGATGATATCCTTGAGAGCATTCTATTCTACTGCGTTCAAGAATTATGGTCCTGAGACATAACTAATAAAATCAAGATTCTGAAATTTTAACTTCAAACACTTAAGTAGGTATGCAATTAGGTTTTATAACCTGATGTGCGAGACCAATAATAGCTTTCTCAAACGAGGTACGTATAGAACGTTTTTCACTTCTATATATATATCACAGAATATTTTTTAGATCACGTATAAGACGTTTCCAACTCATTCTATAAATACTTTAGAGTTCTAGTTACCTGGTGTCAAACTGACAAAAAGAAATTAAAATGAATACAAATGGCTTGTTTTTAGTTCTTACTAATTGTTGGGGGTATTCAAGAAAGAGGGCCCATAATCAAAAATACTTACTTCTCAATCGTCCTGAAATACTTAAAAATATAAGCTTCAGTTGTCAAACTGTCAAAGTGGCACAATCAGGTTGACAGGATACAATTTCAACTGACATTATCATCTACCTCTCACTCAGTAAGGTATTGCGATCATTATTGGAGGTTTCGCAGGTTAGTAGTGAAAAAAATTCTTGTTGCTTGTGGACATATTTTCTGTTCTGATTAATGTACCCAATTTCATTTTATTTCTCACAGTTGGTAGTTTTTGCTGCATTCGCCGCCACCCTGGCTCAGGCCAGCAGCATAGGCTACGCACCTAGCGCAGTCTCATCGTACTCCGCCACCTCCACCCTTCAGCACCACCCGTCGCCCCTAATTGCAGCCCCTGCTCTGGCATACGCTGCCGCCCCCGCTTTAGCATATGCTGCCCCTGCTGCTCATCTCGCATACGCCGCCCCTGTGGTCGCTGAACACTCCGCCCCTGCTCACTACGACTTCGGGTATGCCGTCAACGACCCCTATACTGGGGATTCTAAGAGCCAGGTGGAGTCCAGGAGAGGCGATGTCGTACAAGGTGTGTACTCCGAGTGATAGCATTAGCGTTTGTACTCACCACAGATGTCATTCATACAGATACGATTGTCGGTTTCTTTAGATTTGGTGTCGCCCAAAGAATTCGAAGAGATTAGGAGCCAAGCCGATATGTTTACTTGCATTGATTGCGGCCAAAATTGTGTTGTTGTGTAGGGCCGTATCGTCAGTCATTCCTATAATTTTAGGACGCCTTTATGGCCTCCTTGATTTTCATAGTTTTCTGCTCTTCCGTGTCAGCGCTCTATTTTGAGGTTATGCTACAAATATCTATTTGCATCAAATTGTTCATGCTTTTGATTTACATCATCTGTTATATAGCCTGAAATTTCCTACAATTCAAGAAGAAAACATAGCTTGACAATAAGAGAGAGCTGACGCTGACACGGAACAGTAAGAATCTAGAAATATCCTAACCTTTCTGAAGGAGAGGAAAGACTATGAAAATCAAGAAGGCCATACAGGCTTCCTACAATTGTAGGAACGACTGACGGTATGGCCCTTAGTGCAGACTTTTGGATTATTTGACTACCATTGCGTACAAAAATGACAAATAATACATCGGCGTACATTCTTTTCTCTGGACAGGATATTCAAGTAGCTATTTGTTACTACAGCAATGAGCCACTTATCGATTTAATGTTAGTCTAGGCTAAGTGTGTCCAAGATGCTATCAACTTTTTGCTAGTATGCAGATTATTTTCTTGGATGTTTTTGTCCACAGCCGCATAGTTTTTGGTATACGGTGCAAAGACTGTCGATGTGGACACATTAGATGACCTAGACAGCTCCCAATGTTGCTTTAGTTAGAAGTTAACAATTTGGTGTTTTTGAATCGAACAGCGACAACGTCAAACAGTATTTACAAGCAGCATGTGACAGGGCAGTACATGAAATTTATAAGCAAATGAATAATGAGTACTTTTATTCAATTTGTTTTTAATGTATTTCACCACACATTAGATTTATTATTTCAAACTTAGTTGTTTCGGAAATTTCTACTTTCAGCACATACTGTATAATGCGTGAATGGAAAGTACCAAGACAGTTTTTTTTACCTTTTTTTTTGTTTTCAGGCAGCTACTCGCTATTGGAATCTGACGGAACCAAACGCACTGTGGACTACACTGCCGATTCCCTGAACGGGTTTAACGCCGTTGTACACAAGGAGCCAGCCCTGACTGTTGCTGCCGCCCCCGTTGTCGCCAGAGCTGCCCCAATTGTGCACGCTGCCCCCGTTTTAGCATATGCTGCCCATCACGAACTGGCTAGACCCTGGTAAACGATTGATGACTGTGAAGGCTTGTGAATAGTGTTTATTTATTGTAGAAATATAAAAATTTTGAAAAAAGTTCCTTTAGTTTATGTCCCTTTTTCTTCCCATGCAAATTCGAAGTTACAGGGTGATTAGAAAAGTGTGATAATGTTGTTATGGCACAAATATAATACAGAAAATTTATATAACCATTGGCCCAAAAATGCTTCCTTACCGATATACAGTGTGTTGATGTTCTAATTTTGAAATCAGGAAAAACATATGTATCTCTGGAGTGGATAAAAAGATCACCATAAGCATGTGTACATACATGTAGTACTAAGAGCATAACTGCTGAATAAAAATTTTCGAGTCTTAACTAAGATATTTCTAATCTCCACTGGTGGAAAAGGAAAGTCACTGCCTTTTCGGAATCTCATTTCGTTTTTGAATAACATAATATATCATTTGCGTAAATTGCCTGTCTTGATAAATATTTTCTGGACCATTCTTTTTGAAGGGAAAATTATTTGAATATATGAGATAAAATAAATACATCTGAAAATATGCTGAACATATCGTAGGTTGCAATTAAAATTGTACCTAGTATAAGGAGAACGATGCCATTTCACCACAGCTTTTTTCAAGAATATTTATGTTTCATTCTTAATGAGCCTTATCTGTGGCGTTTTACTGGACTAGATGATGCAGAAAAGGCGACTATATTAGCTGAGCACTTGCAGAAAGTCTTTACTCCATATCGTGCACAATGCACTGGACAAAAAGAAAATCGTGTAAGAGTTCCTAAACGCATCGTTTCATACTTACACAAAAATAAAACAGGGCGAAGTACTGAGAGTAATTATTAAGAGCCTAAGAGAGGCTCTTGGATTTGATCTTATCACGGGGAAAATTTTACACGAGTTATCTACAAAATCCGACAACATTTAACGCTACATTTCTAATGAATTACTATCTTCGCAGTTGGAAGGCTGCCCAGATAAAGATAATCCTGAAACCAGGAGAGAACCCCAATGAAGTCGCCTTATATAGACCAAAAATCCTGCTACCGGACCATCAGTTTGGTTCCGGGAAAAACACGGCACTGTTGAGCAAATGCACAGAATAGTAAATCAAATTAATGCGGACTTCAACAACAATAGATACTGTTCAGCTGCATTTCTTGATGTATCGCAACAGTTTGACATAAAGTCCTGCACCTTAAACTAAAACAACTCCTCCCTTATCCTCATTACTTGCTTCTGAAGTAGTACCTGACAAACAGGTACTTCTACGTAAAGCGTGGTACTGAACCCACATCCAGTAAGTCCACTGGTTCAGAAGTCCCATAATGAAGTGTTTTAGGATTATATTATGCAGACTTACAAACTGCAAATGATGTATGCATAACAACATTTCCAAAGATGTGGCTATCTTGGCATCTCATGAGAATTCAGACATAGTGTCGCAAAATCTTCAGAGGAACTTGCTCAAACATTGATTACTGGCTAAAGGAATGGCGCATAAAGGTTAACGAAAGTCCACATATGTGAAAGAAACCTATCCACAAGGAGGTATTGATAATTTACAAATTCCACAATCAAACCCTGTACAAAGTTTCTCAGAATCCGTTCAAACAGAAGGATTACATGGTAAATGCACATTTTCTCAAAAAAGAAACAAATGGGAATCAAACGCAAAGAGATAAATCATTGGTGAGGAATCTAAACTGGCGTTGGATAACAAGCTATATATTGCCCGAATATTTTCTACCATTTGGTGTAAGGATAGCTCTTTCAAGTTCAGATTACAAATTTTTGCCAATATTTTCTGTCTTCTGGTATTTTTCACGATTCCTGTGCTGATACCCCTTTTCTCCAGAATCTGTTCTAATTGCCCAATTCCACGTCAATCTTGGTCTTCCTCTTTCTCGCTTAGGTATAACATGCACTTGCTATATCTTCTTGTTGTCCCTCATCCCTTTTGTTGACATGACCAAATCAGCCTAACAGTTTCTGTTCGGAAATGTTTGTTACCTAGTCAAACTCTTCCCTTATATTCCTAATATGACCCATCCTAGTTATTCCCAATGCCCTCCTTGAGTATTTCGTTACTACGGCTTTGATTCGATTTTTCAGTTTCTTTGCCGATGTCCAGGTCTCTGTCCCATAGAAGAATTTTTTTATACCGAAGCGGCCGGGCAGGCAGAAGCCTAAAAACCGGGACACCGCGGCTGCTATGATGATCCCAAAGAAAGTTTGTTAATACGATTTTTGAACTGCCTAAGGCTAGTAGAACTGGGGAAAGCTTCCTCTTGTAGATTGTTCTACAATCTCGGCACCCTCGGGACAAACGAGCGGTAATATCGGCCAGTTCTGGATGTACGAGGTTTGACACGGCTAGGATAGGATGCCAAAGTCAGGCGGGTCTGTCTGGCAGACACATCCCGCGGCGGCATCATGGAAGAGAGCTCTAAGGAGCAAAGCCCGTTGGTGTAGCGGTAAAAAAAGAGCTAGATCGCCGACAGTCCGCCGGTGCAAAAGGATCCCGAAACGTGTGAACAATACTTGAGACTAGGCTTTACCTGCGCCTTGTGTAGAGTGAGAAGGTCATGCGGAGAAAAGTACTTCTTAGCCCTAAACAAATAGGCAGCAGGGGTGGCCGCAGTGGTAGACTCTTCGGTCTCCTGATCAGTCGCCGTGCGGGTTCGAATCCCGTCCCAAGAGAAATTTTTCTCTTGGCTATGGACGTTGTGATTGTCCGTAGGTGGTAGACGGTCTCTGACTACCGAACGCGGAGGTACCACCCGGTGGATCTCGTAGGCGGGGCCAGAATGTGTGCATGTTGCATGCACACGTGTTCCCTCGCCAGAGTTCGTGTGGCGTTTCCTTTCCCTTTCCCCTGTATCCCCCTATAGACCCACGGTACCCCATGGGTGTTTAGGCCATAGGCCTTCGTGGTAGTTGGTGTATATAAAAAAAAAACTTTTTCCCAGCAGCTGCCACTATTGAGGATATGTGTTCGTGCGAGATCAGGTCCTCGGTGATCTGGACTCCGACCATACGAAACGAATGGCTTTTTGGCAGAACTCGGCCATCCATCGAAATCGGATGAGCGCTAGGACGCTTTAAGTACAGTACTGAACTTTGGAAGCATTAAACTGTACAAGACTATTGCGTCCCCAAGCAGTGATAACCTCCAGGTTTGTCGTCAGAGAGGAAGTCGTCGCTAGTCTTCTTTTTTCTTGCTCAGCGGCAGAAATCGGCTTGTCACTCTGAATTCCTGCATGTACAGTGCTGTCATCAGCGAATCTGTGGATTAGGTTGATCGTGCAGGAAAGGAGATCGTTGATATGTGTTTTACCCAAGACCGATCGCTGGGGAACACCCATTGAAAGAAATACGAATTTATAGACTTTAATTTAAGTAACTCTAAAAATTTATCGTTTGCATAGCAAACTTATTCAGCACGTGATAGAGATTTAACGCAGACCTAATTATTTCATTGATTTCAATTTTTTCTCTTTCCTTATAGTTTAGAGTGCATCCTAAATACTTAAATTGCTAAAAGCCCTGCCCATTATGGTTACTGGATCATATATGCAGTTTTTGTTGGAAATCCTTGTCAGCTTCATATCATTTTTCTCCAAAGATGTTTCCCAAATCTCCAGGTTCGGCTGTAGGTCCATTGAATTACCAGCAAAGATAGCTACATCATATGCAAACGCACATTCCTTCAGTCCAATTCTAGGTAGCCTAAAATGTCCCAAATGTAACTTATGTAAACGAGTCTTAATTTTCTCTAGGACGTCGTTCAATACTACGATAAACAACATAGGACTTAGTACACTACCTTGTCGTAAACCTCTGTCTGTAGTAAAATCTTTTGTTTGGATATTGAATATTCGGATGTCCTTTATATGGCATTTGTTAACAACGGACTAATTCCCTTTGCTGCTGGGGCTTTCCAAATCAACTTTCTTGGTATGCGATCGAAAGCTTTTTCTAGATCTAAAAATGCGATTAGAGCTTCGCGGTTCTGTATAATTATCTTATATACTGGCAGCTCAGTTTTTTTTTTGGAAATACGCTCAGACCCGTAAATTTTGTTTTCGAGGGGGACACAAGTTTGGCAAAAAATCACGTTGCACGTGCAGCCCCCTGGGCGGGGGTGACACCAACCCTACAACCTTAAATGGAAAGGGGGTCGAGTGATACCCTATTTTAAAGGTCTTTCAATTCCCCTTATAATGATGTGAAATACATGAGCTTCAGTTCAGTAGTTTTGAAGATTTATTGATTTAAAGCTTAATGTAGACTTTAATAGGTACATCAGATTAGTTTGTACTACTTTCAGAAGAAATTTGACTAAAAGAATTTACTTAATAAGTAAATGCTTTTCTTCACTACGCCCATGGTTGGTTTTTCATTTTGTTGTTGAAAATAGCTATTGGAGAGTTTTTTTGTGGCAAAAAAGTTATTTCTTGAAGAAAGATAAGGAAATATCAGTAGATACTGGTGCACTCTGGGCGCCCCCCACCACTTCCACTTTTTGGCCACGCCCACCACATCCACCGCGTGCTCTGATTGGCGGATCAAACGGCGGGAAATTTGAACGGGGTTGATGGTATATGTTGATTGGCGGGAACCGCTAGATCCACCGCGTGCTCTGATTGGTGGATCAGACGGCGGGAAGTTTGAACGGGTTGATGGTATATGTTGATTGGCGGGCCCCGTTAGATGGCGCACCCGACCGGAAGTGATTCAGACAGCCGACGATAGTAAGGTGTAGTATAACGTCTATGCGTAAGCGATGTGACTCATTTCATGTTTTGCGGTAAATATTTGCATATATAGATCGATAAAAGCCCATGAATAATGATATTTATAGATGCAATTCTGCGGATTCAGTTTAAATGGAAAAACGTATAAAATTCGCGGGAAACAATGCGTATAGGATGATCTCAATAATCAACACGTCATATTCAGTGTGCATATAAAAATGGAATTGCTCATATATGTGGTGCA